CCCCCACCCTGGGCCAATTTGGGAATAACACTGGTTTGGGGCCCTGCCCTCATCTGTAAATACATAAGGCTACAAGAGCTCCCTATTTTATGGGGACCGAGAACCTGGAAAGCTTCCTAGAGGATGTCCTGAAGAAAAGCCTGGATTTGAATTAAATGGGCAGCAAGACTGGCTTCAGCAACAAAACAGGTGGGAATGAGTTTATCAGGTTCCTTTAGCTGGGACGAAAGACTCCCTGTGTCACCTTTCAAAATACTTACATGCCAGGCAGTACTGCAAATACCTGACATACTCATTTAATCCTCACATCAATTTTTTTTTTTAAAAAAACAAGGAGAATAGTAAAGAAAGGCCAAGTACTTGGCAGAAGTAGCTGTGGTTGGAGCTCATGTTTTATACTCACATCTGCTATTTGCTTCCAGATCTGTCAGAACCTGGCGTTGTGAAGCTGCAGGTCTGAGACTAGGCCCTAGTCCTGTGCACGTGAAGCTACTCATACCCACTTTCTCCTGGACTCAGGAAGCCAGTGGGGGTGGGTCAAAGCCATGGTGAGGGCCCCAACCCTCATCTCTATGTTTGACTGCCACTGAGGGGCTCTTCAGGTGGAGGGGGATCTACAAAGCCAGATGCTGGGGCAAAAGAGCTGGCTTCCAGTGAAGATGAGCTGGACACCTGTGGAACAAGGAAGAAGGCAGATCTTTAGCAAAAAGTTTATGTAGAGGTTAACAGCACAATTACTGGAGTCAGACTACCTTAAGAATCTCATCTGCTTACTGTGAACCAAGTTAATGTGCTCTCATTTCCGTATCTGTTTACACAGTAGTGCTTATCTAACAATATGTGAGGGTCACATGATTTGATTCACAGAAAACATTCAGTCGTGGCTTGGCACATTGTGGTCAACAAACACTGGCTATTAACCACAGCAACCATACCCGTGGTGCCTCTAGCTCTAGTTGGGCCCTCACCAGAGGTGGGTACTGGTACTCGTGGGTGTTTGCTGGATTGATCTCTGCCAGGGTCTGGACACTTGCATCTCTTGCATTCACCAGCCGCAGAAAGAGCTCAGCCTGACCCACCTGGGGAGAGGTGACATGGTACTACTGCATCTGCACCTTGGAGGCATAGACCCAGTCCCCATCCTCCACCACTCACCTGGGGAATCCCATTCAGCTGCCCAAGGCTAAGGCTGGGGTCCAGAGGAAGGGCCCTAAGTGGGAGCCGCCAGTGACCACTTAGCACCCTCTGATCCTTGTCAAATAGCATCAGTGAGGCCCAGGCCTTTGGCTGTGGTGCCTTAGCCCATGCCAGCCCCTGCCAGGCCTGGAGCTCACAGACCAAGGATACTGATGGTGAGGGTGGTAGTCTAGAACAACCAAAAAGAGGTATCAGGAGCCAGAAGTGGCTATACTCCATTCCTTGGACTTGGCCCCTTAGAGCCAGTGGCCCTGTATACAGATGAGAAAATCTAGCAGAATGAAGGACAAGCCTCAACTGCGGCAAAAAGCACCAATGTCATAATCCCTATCTACTAACCTGGGTATAGGCTGCCTGCTGGCAAGGATGGCACAGTTGCCCATGGGCCCAGGAGCTGGAGGTGGGGGCAAGCAAAGGGCTGGGGGCAACGTTGTGGTCCCTCCTGTATTCTGTCCATCTTGGGCCAAGCCAGTCTTTAGTTGCACCCAAATCCAAGAAGCCTCAAGGCCCCGCAGGAAGTCATAGAAAATGACAAGACCAGCCCTAGGAAACACAAGTCTCAAGAGCACTTAAACACACACCCAACTCCTCCAACCGGTTCCCCCACCCTAACTGGCCATAGTGAGTCTTCTTAACCAGCAGTGGTGACCAAGTCACAGAGGATGTCAAATGAGGGAGGAGGCCTCACCCAGGGTCGTAGGGTGCAGGGCCCAGAACATCAGTTGTGGGCAGGAGGAAGTGTGGATCCAGGCCTAGGTTCCTGGTCATGGCTCCAGGAAGCTGCGGCTGCGGGGGAAGAGAAGTTAATTCCTCCAGAAAACCTCCAAGGTGTCTAAGCTCCCCAAACTGCACAGAAGAGAACTGTCCCCACCCCAAACCTGGGTCCTCACAGCCTTTTCGGCGCCACCCCAGAATAAGGCGCCTGTGGAGTTTGAAAGCGGTGGCAGCGGTGGAGCCACTGGCGGCTGGAGGCTTGGGGAATCTTCCCTCCTTCTCAGGTGTGGGCTGGGATTGGCCACAAGTCTCAGCTCCCCTGGCCCTACGTGCAGAGGAAGAGTAGAATGCCTATGAACAGGATGCAGCAAGAAACTGGGCTAAGATGCCCCTCCCCCAAGAACCGTATTCACACGGACACCTGGAGAGGTGCGTGAACACGGTCTCATTCCCCCCGTGCATGGTCCCTCCAACCACTTCCTCTGAGCCTGGTCTGCTGGGGAGAGGTAGGCAGTGTGGAACTGCGGTGCTTACTGACCCCAGGGCACCCGGCCTGCGCCCCTCTGCATCTGCAAAGCCAGGATTTCTGCCTCCAGGCGCTGGTTTTCAGCTTCCACTACTAGAAGCTCCTTCGACATGGCACCTGTCCGTCTTCCTGCAATGAACAAGTCTGACCTGTTACCTCTGACCTCTCGTGACAAGCGGTCCACTTCTGAGCAGCTCTCCAGCCTTAGGACTCACTGGATAAACTTGGATTTGGCTAACATTCTAGACCATCGTCACAAAGACCAGTCTTCTACCTCGGGCTTTTGCTTATGTGGTTCCCATGCCAAAGACGCCCTCCCTTGCCGCCCTTTTCTCCTCCCAGGCCACCGCTTCCGACAGGCCCCCTCGGTTGGCCCCCTCCTGTTCACCCCTACGGGTCCGCGACCGCCAAAGCTCCAGAGCTGACGCCTCCACTTGCAACTGCCACATCCAGCCCAGAACGCCGGCGTCCCGGCCCCCGCCTCGAATGTAGGCCCCACGCAAGGCCCTAGGGAGTAGGGGACCAGAAGGCAGCAGCGTTTTTCCAGGATCCATCAGTGCTTCTCCCCGTGCTCGTCCCGGGGCCCAGACCTTACCCGATCTCCGCAGCCAGAGTCCCTGGGATGGCCTGTAGCGCCGAACAACACAGTTCCGCCTCTCCCAAGGAGTTCAGCCGGGTCCTGAGGTTGGGGCAGCCCGCGCGAAGACGGCGTCAAGGACCCAGACGCCCGGCCCCGCCCCTTCCTGACCTCACACTTGCGCGGCCTCCAGGAAGCGCCCGGACTTACGTCTCACGCGTCTCGCCCCGCCAGGCCCCGCCCCTTCCGCACCGGCCCCGCCCTCCGCAGGCTGGCTGCGCGGCGCTCCGGGGACCCGCACGCGGGTCTCACCCGGGCTCGGTCTGCAGCTGCTGAATGTGCGCCCCTAATACTTCTAGAGCTCCCCGCGTTCGCCCGGCCTCTGCCCGGAGTTCTCGAAGCTCCCGTTCCAGGCAAAATAGGCGTGATTTCCCGTCCCGGGTCCGGGCCAAACCTTGGAGGCGACGTCTCAGTTCTGAGGGGATAAGGGATCAAGTCAGAACGGGTCCGGGACAACCTCCAGACAAGGGGGAGCGCAAGGCAGGTCCCTAGTCCCCCTCTTTCCCCTCACCCTCGCCGCGTCGCTCCAGGGCCCGGCTCTGTGCCTCCGAGTCTGCCATGCGCCTTGCATGCGTCCAGTGCAGAGACCGCAGCCGCTGGTCGGGGCTCTCAGCAGCCTTGTAGGTGGGACCCCGAGTCGGCGCCTCTGAACGCCTCCAGGGCCCCTGTAACCCTCTGGGTACCTCTGTTATCCAGAATGGCATTTCCTGCAGGAACAGCCGTAGCCGCTGCACCTGGAGATGACAGTAACCTGCAATTTCTGTGTTGGGGTAATCTGACCCACGCATGATATATAGGTTTGGGGAGGATTCTCGGTTTTGACCCCGCGGGGAAAGCCAGGTGTACCTCCTCTGTTAGCCTCTTCAGGGCCAATTTGCTGGCCGCCTCGTCTGGGAGGCTCTGGTGTTCTTGGGCCTGGGGACAGGGTATGGACTGAGGAATCCTGAGAGTCAGAGTCACTTCAATATACACTCACGGCCATGGAGGGGCCCTGACCGCGGATACCTGTGGTTCAGTAGTTATTGAGGGCTGTGCTCCAACTGTCACCTCCCGGGTCAGACGGCCAATGCAGAAGCGCTGAGTGTGAGTGGCCAACAGGGCCCAGGAGCGGAAAACCATGTCACAGGATCTACAGGGCAGGAGCCCTGGCTCCCTAGAGTGGGAGGCCATGGGATGGGATCTCTTTCCCGACACCAGCCAAGACCTGCAGAAGACAGAACAGAGGGCAAGGGAAAGGGAGAGGAGGATGGAACAGACAAAGCCAAAGGCAGAGAGGAAAGGCCAGGTTTACCAGGTATATATAATCAAGTTTATGTTTGGGGAGGAGCCTTAGCTTCCTGGGCAACAACTACAGGTCTGGGCAGGTCTGGAGAATGAGCTGGAAGGCTTGGTCACCTAGGGAGATGTCCCTGGCTTGAAAAAATGTCATAGTCTGTTCCACCTCATTGCATGAGCATGGGCAAGTGTCTAACACTTGGTTTCTCTGCCTCTATCAATAAAGGGGATCACCTACCTCCTAGCCTGAGCTGGTATCACATACATTTTGGTCATTTGGTAGCCGCTGGCAGGGAAGTGTCATCTTGTTCATTCTTGTTTTACCCAAGTGGATGTAACCCAAGTTAGTGTCATTCTCCATTCCAAGGAATACTTGGGAAAGGAGAATGGCATTCTGCCTGGAAACCATGTCTTTACCCTAGATTGAAAAGCTTTTCCATGCACCAGGCATCTCTGGAAGCAACCACATCTTTTGTGTAATCAAGTCGCTCCCATTCCCTGATTTCCTGTTGTTGTTTCTTCCCCCCTTCCGACTACAGAGGGAAGATAGAGCACAGTCCAAGGAATAAAAGTTCTGAGAGAACACAATGCATCTATCAGAAGAGGGAATCAAATACTGAAAGGTACCTCTTCACTCAAGACTGGCCAGGGGCCATGTAGGCCCCTTTCCTGCTGGCCAAATCTCCCGCCATCTCCCCAAGTATGTGAATCCAATAGAGGCAGGAGCTTCTGACTTGGAGCTTCTGACCTAGCCCTATGTTTCTAAGTAAGTTCCCCTTTTTAAACAAGACTGGTAGGTCCTGTCCCCCAACCCCACCACCCAGGTGTATTAAGACCAAGCAGCAGGTTACAAAGTATTTCAAAGTATGTAATCTCAGTTCAGTTCAATTCTAAGTGAGAAAAGGGGTACCTTTTTAGAAATTTGTTCTGAGAAAGCTATTGAGTGGCAAAGCCCAAGCCCAAACAGGATATTTCTATCTCAACTTACTTCTCATTTCCAGTTTATACTTTGGTAACTTACTTCCAAATTTTACTATCTTTATTATTTTTCCCTTATTGAAATCCAGGACCTCATGCATGCCAAGCACGTGCTCTACCCCTGAGCTATACCTCTCATCCTCTATTTCACTGATTTTAAGATGCACATTTTTTCATGTTAACAGTGAAATCAGGATTTACAATTCACGGAGTGTCATAACTGGCAAGTTTTCTCATTAGTACATAAAATGTCTTAAAATAGATCTTTCTCAACCATCATTTCCATAGTTCACACAGCGAATGCTCATACCAACAGCAGGAGAGACTATAGTACATTATGGCACGTAGGATCTCTGCCTTCCTAGCCTTTAGAATCTAGCAAATATACTGGTTTCTCTGCCTCTAGCTTCCACTCCCCTTCTGGAGCCCACACTCTTAAGTTAGTTATCTAACAAGTGGTCAGGCCTGTTACTCCTCTGCTTATCTCCCACTAAGGGATGACCTTGGGCTTCCATATCCACTAGGGACCACGTGCTGTCCCTAGTGGATGGCCAAAGAGTGCCAGTGTCAGTATCTGTTGTTAAACTTCTAATTGTCCATCAGATCTTGGCCTAAGGTTTCATTTTCAATATAATTGTTTCTTCTCTTCCCTACTGGGCCAGGCACTCTTTGCATCGCCAGGGCCTTGCACAATGCCTCGGACACACAAGAGCTTAGGAAGTATTTGTTGAGTTGAGAAAAAAAAAAACCTTCCTTCACTGTTCACCCAGCCAGCACTGGCTCACACTTGTCCCCTCTCTGTTCTTATTTAGCAAGAAAACTGAGGCACAGGCTTCCTTAAAATAGGCACACTGGTAAATACACGGGCAGTGAAAAACAGTTTCAGGAAGGAAACTTGGGTTTGTGACTTTATTACTGGTAGTTTATTGCACAGCTTTTTCTGCATCAAAAAAGTATCTGCTAAAAGGAGAAACAGGCGCATCTGAATTTAGATTACCCTCAGCCCTCAAAAAGTAATAATTCCCCTAAAAAACAATCCATTCATCTAATTTTAAAGAAAATATACTTCTTACACAAGACAATCCAAATTGATGCAAAATATTTATTCCAAGTTAGTTATTTTATGCAGTAGTTTTCTCCCTCAACAGACCTGTGATAACCACATCTTTTAAATCTGTAAATAATGTTATCAAAATAATCTTAATCTTTGAAATCTCACAAAAATTTATATTTTACAATCCACCCTGAATATCAAGGCTGCAAGAATAACACAACATTTCCTATATCCAAATATTTTACAGCTGTACCCAGAAAGGAAAAAAAGAAAGAAAGAAAAAAACAAAAAAACCAAAAAACCACATATACTTGGTTAAGGGCTAACGTTACCCGAGCAGCCAAAAATAAAATAAAATATCCAAATTATTAGCATTAATTTAATACAATTATAATTTCAATAGTCACTTTGTCATTGACAATGATTGCTTGAGCACAGGGGTGAGTGCCCCAAGGGCTGGTAGTAGAAGCTGTTGCTGCAGACCAGTGTCTCCTCCCCTCTGCACTGCCAGCTCCCACCTGTGCATCGCCCCGTATATACTGTGTGTATGTGTGTGTGTTAAAAATCTTTCCCACCACACAAAGGTCTCTCTACTAAGCAGCTAACAGGGAAGAACAACAACAAAAGCTAAACAAGCCAATCGCTCTCTCTTTGGGATATGATTATTTGCCTTGTGCACAAAGTATTTAACAACAACATAAGAAAAGGAAAAGGAATAGAACGATTGCTTCTGTATAATCCCTAGACACACAAGCTGAGTTTACTGGGTCAGATTTAACTGTAAGCATTTATATGCCTACTTCCAGGCATCGTCATCAGATGTTTCACTGCTACTGGTTTCCGTGTCCAAGTCCTCAAACTCTAATTTACAAGTGCTTCTCCAAGGGGAGAACAGGCTGGAACTTCGGCTCTGCAAGAAGCCATTCTTCCCAAAGCCATTTCTTCTCAGCTGTGGTTGGCATGGGAAAGAAAGAAAAAGGACAACCATCAGTAACTACACTGGCCCACGGGACCTGGGAAAGGCCAATCCTCAATTCAACTCTAGGCAGAATGTAGAGGGGGACCTTTCCAAGAAATTGAAGATTTCTCACAGGAGTGCTTTTCAAACTGCAATGTGCAAATGAATCATCTAATACTCTCCTGAAAATGCAGACTGATTCAGTAATGTCTGCGGAGGGTTTGAGATTGACTATGTCTCCAAGTTCTCAGGTGGTATGATGGGGGAACAGAGTTCTGAGTAGTGAAGTCTTTACATCAGCCTGTACTTAGGACTTAGCAGCACTGTTATTTATGCTTTAAGTACATACTACCAGAATGCAAGTTCTGCGAGGTATGTAGAGACCCCATTTGTCTTGTTCGTGGCTGTAAACCTTGGGGTCTGGCAGTGTTTTATTCAGAGAAAGAATCTAAGCATTTGTCGAAGAAATTCAAATAGGCTACCTGGCTTCCTGGCTCTGGCCAGAGGACTAGAGGGAAACCACGGGGCTGCAAGCACAGGTGGCTCGGCCTCCTTCCCTAGAGACCGAGCCTCGGAACACAGCGCTGTGGTTCTAAACACACTACTTTCTGCAATCTGCTAACTACGGACCTCTTTTTTTAATCTACCACTGGAGATCCCTATGGAGAATGAAATGTTCCTCTGTATTTCTACAATGGCAACTAAATGTTTTCTTTTTCAAGGTCCTTCTCTCACCCTAAACTGGGGCTCCTCAAGGGCAACAACTGTCCTGACTCCTTTCTCTCCTAGTCATTAACTGGTTCCCAGGAAAAGTTTATGTATGACGTACCTGCTCTGTCTTCATATGGAACTCTTTGAGCTCATCCTCTGTGAGGGGAAGGCAATTCTCGTCATTTTCAGGATACTCCTGCCATCCCATTGCTTTCAATAACCTGGTGCAGGCAGGCCAGACAAAGAAAATATGGTACCTTTAAGCCTAAGTGGGAATCCCACAACTTTCTAGAGCCCAGGGGCAGTGGTACCCACTTAGATGTTAAAGAAGAAACTTGGGTTTGTCTTTTCTTCCCAGTTGGATAAGCTTTAATTATGGCTACTTGGTGCCTGGAATTAAATGGGAGAATCTCACAGTTGTTCTTTCCAGAGCACAAGAGGTATAGCGAAGAGGCAGTAGAAGCAGCAGAAAATAAGACAGAATAAAGAAGAGTCAAACTGTCCCATAGACGAAAGAAATTTCACTTTGTCTCTTGTGAGCAAATGAGCACAGAGCCACATGTATCTTTTACTTTCATAGCATTGTGGGCTCCCCTCATAACCTTGTGATCTTGCTGACCCCTTTTAAAGTTCCTGTGGACAGGAGCCTCCTTTCAAGGAAGGTACTGCCATACTTCGCAGGCTCCATCTGCCGTCCAGTTGCCAGGCAGCTTGGCTGGCTCTGTGTTCAAGGCCCTTGTTTAAAGAACAAGCTCCAGACCTGGGGGCCTCATGACTCCCAAGGCCCCTTAAAGGGATCTTGAGGTAACTGCTCACTTAAGTCAGGAGAGGCCAAGGGGCCATGAAAACAGTTCTAGGAAACAGGTCTCACCCCACTCCCCACTTTCAACTAGAGCCATTAACTGAGTCTGAAGCTAAACTACAAGAAGGCCTTAGAAAGGATAGAGTGAAAAAGCTGGCTGAGTGTGTCATGGCATGCCCAGCGGGCAACAGGCCAACCCACAGCATACACACAGAAACTGTGGTGCTATGGGCACTTCTCTCTGTATGATGGACTCTGAAATGTCCTCTTAAGTATGTTCAAACTCCTTGTAGGCCATACACAGCATTCCTTGTGATCTGATCCTCACTTACCTGTGCTCTGCTTCCAGAGAGTGAGAGAGGACCTCCCCTTCCTCTTCTACTGGGATAGCAAGACCATTTTGATGACAACCCTCCTCTTCATTCTCCTTTGGTTCAGGTGTGCTATTGTCCTCCAACTGCGTTAAGGAAAGGAAGGACACATTTGGTTTAATGATCCTTTGGGGCAAGATAAGCAATCTATAAGATTAAGGAGTCAGAACCCAGGAAAGTGTTTTCTAGAAGAAAACCTCAGCCCAAAGGTTTTTTCCCTTTTAAAAATGAGAAACTGCTCACCTTGCTCAGATTTCCCAAGGATACCACCTGGCTACTATCTTAACTTCAGGTCATGTCAACTGTGGCAGATGCTACTCGATGCCCATGTGGTATCAATTTTCTATTCTTCCTCACTGGTTTGAATTAAGGAACCAGTGCTCTCAGCTTTTAGAGTTCACTTTCCTAGACTCCCTTGCAGCTAAGAGTGGCTATTTGACAGTTGGTCAATAAAAATGTAAGTGGAAATTGTAGCGTGGGCTTTTAAGAAAGCATTTTAAAAGGTACAGACATTCCTTTTCAGGTTTTTGGCTGTCCTTTCCCTAACTAGAATGTGGATGGGAAGCCTACAGGAGCATAATTACCCTAAGTCCAAGGTGATCAAAAGTTTGCAAGTTTCCTGGTAATATCAATGAGCTGTCATTAACTTCTTGGACTGGGAACTCTAACATTTCTGTTGCGGGATATTTGCACCCCCCCCCCCAAAACAACAAACAAAAACTCTTGTTTTATGGTTTTGTTTGTCAGATTTTCTTATATTATGATTTAATATAATCCTGAGAAGATTCTGTAATTTACCAACTTCTTACAGCATCCAATTCAAGACTTAAGCAGTGCTGCCCTGTTTAAGAGCATCAAGTCTCAAGGCAATTATTGAAATAAGCCTTATTTTGAAATATGCTGACCAAAGGATTGAATTCACTTTATCACAGGCTGTTATTCCTACAGACAAATCTCTGTACATTTAAAAAATGTGCCACACCTTTCTCCCTTAAGAACAAAAAGCATATATATATATATAAAACACAGAAAAATACTTAATGATGCCCCACCAAACCCTATGCTCTTACATCCTCCAGCTTCTCACAGTCTCTGCTCTCTGAGAGGTCTCCATTCCGGTCATCCTTCAGAGTCTTCAGGAACTCGCTCTTCCTGTCGGTAGTTCTGCGGGTCAACTTGGTCAGACGAGAAGAGCTGATCTCAATTGGAGGAGTGGTGCTGGAGGGACTCTGGGCAAATACCACAAATAGGTTGCTCCTGATAGCAAGGAGTTAAGTGCTGGGATGCTCTAGGTCATTTCTACATGTCACTGATTTTCAGAATCTGGTAGCCTTTATCTGGTAATTTATCACTCTTTTACCAAAAAACCCCCAATTCTTTTCATTTAAACAGATTTTAGCTTTGCAGGGTTTTTACAGTTAAGACTAGATGGCTTATACAGCACCTCTTTGATCTTTCTACAGATGCCAGCATAACGCCAGCACAGGCCAACAATGGTCTACCACAGGGCAACTATACCCCCAGAGCCCGCCCTGGCTACTGACCATCTCTGGATGCTAATGGGAACCATCAGTAAAGAAATGACTGTGAGCTAAGCACAGCTACAAAGGAAATGGAGCTAGAGCTACACGTGTCACACTGCATATGTCAATTTATGTCAATGGGAAACAGCAGCTTTAGAAAAGGCTGCTCGGCTTTATCCTCACTCACCTCTTTGGGAGAACTTAAAACTGTGCCACCAGCCAGTACTACCGGTTTGATAACAGAGATTGGACTGGTAAAAGCAGACTCCCGGCTAGAGGAAAGGGATCCCGATTTGTGTTCCATTCTGTTAGCTTTCCAGGCACTGGGCTACATGAGGAGAAAATAAATCAGTCAGAACAGCATGCAGACAAAAGCTCAGCTTGTAAGATCATCAAGCAAAGAGTGGAATGTTATGTGGGAATGAGTTCCCAGAGCTTGCCTGTCTCAATATATTTGGGAGGTATACAGCCTTCAAGGAAAAAGGCAGACAGGAACCATAATAGCCATGGGATATTAATAGGTAATTCTCAAAAAGAGAACTCTAGTCCAGTAAGCTTGGGAGATGCTAAGTTGAATAAAGTTCAACCACAGGTTTCTTTACTGTGTTATTTCTTAAAGCATTTAACTGTGTATGTGAATTTTAGAGGCAGATACAATACACAGCACTTTTCTAAACTTACTTGACCCCCAACTGGCTTCTTTTATGGTGTGTTTGTTAACATCTGATATAATCCTGACATCTTCCCCTCACTTTCTTCAACCACCCTCCCTGAAAAAGCACAATAGAAAAATCGCTCTTCTCAGGAATTTCATGGCAGGAAGCTAGATCCAGGTCAGAGTGGGCAATGTAAGTGTCTAGGCAATCCTGGTTTTTAATCCAGAGGCCCTTCTTTTGCTTAGCCTTGTGGGCCCTGGTCCCAAGCATGAGGGCAGCAAAGTTTAACTGGTATACTACATTTTTTTCTGAGCCAATCACTCTGTCTGAGGAGAATAGGGAAGATGAGGCACGTCAATGGAGTGAGTCTGAAGCAAGTAAAAAAAAGTCTGCTTCTCCAGAATGAAACAATCAGAACCAAGAGACCTCCAGTACAAAGGAACGGTCTGAGTGAAAAGAATTTCTTTCTTGTTATTAAAGAAGGTATGATAGGCTTTAGGAAAGGAATGAATCTAACAGAGTATCTACCATGTACTGGATGCCTGCCACAGTACTTTACTGAATTCTTAACCCAATCAGGTATTATATCTTTTTACAGAGAATTACACTGAAATTAAGAAAGTTATGTAATTTTCCAAGGTTACTCAACTGGTATGCAATACTGTTTTCCACAATGCCTCCAAAAAGAATGCGCAAGCAGGTAAGAGACAACACCCCAACTGGAATGAAGATTAAATTTTTTCTTGCACTGATGAAAATTAAAGATGGTAGCTTATTCAGGCTAAATATCAAAGATGATAGTTTCCCAGAGCTGCAGAGGGTCACCAGATGCCTTGTCTTTCTTTTACCTTTGCCATCTCAGGGCACAGAAACAGATGAGTTTCCGCCACAGCAGCACGACAGGTTTACCAGTGTTATATGCAACAGGATACCTACATCTCTGCCCAACTTTATTCCAACTTAATTTTCAGTAACTCAAGCACTATGTTAGATAGCTGGTTGCTCACTAGAGAAAACAATTATGCCCTGGGCCCCCTTTATTATAGGAATTATATATGTAGAAACCACTAAAGTGAGGTACAAACTATTATGTATAAAAGAAGCTATGAGGATATATTGTGTAACACATGGATTATCGCTAGTATTTTACAGTAACTATAAATGGAATATAACCTTTAAAAATTATGAATCACTATATTGTTCACTTGTAACTACTATATATTGTACAGCAACTATACTTCAATAATAAACAAATAAATACATAAAATAAAGGGGGGAAAAAAAAAGAAATCCACTAAAGCAAACCACGTATCAACCACTGTTTTCTTTCTAAAATACCCTGTCCTTTCCTCTAAATTCCAAATCAATCCCAACTCTCCACCTCAAATAATCTTGCCTTCTCATAAAGGACTGAGAAGTTGGAAGTCATTGGATCCAATCTTTCCCCAATTCCCACCTTTGCATCTCAAATTCCTTTGATAGCTCCCCCTCTTCCCATCTGTTTATTCTCATTCTTTTGTGAATTTATCAATTACTTCTCCTTTGTATCTCTAATCTTCTCTCCTCTTCTTCCATTTTATCTATAAACATGCTAAGCCACTTTACTGAAGCCAAGGGGAGAAAAAAACCAAAGTTTTTTTTTTACCTCATATTACCATCCTTTTATTGTCGAACTTTGCTGCATAAGTCAGTATCTGCTGTCTTTCACCTGCTCATTATTACTATTTAATTCTCCACAATACTCACCTCTGTCCCTATTTTAATATGACAGCTCTTTCAATAAATAAGCAAAAATCTTGTCCTCATATTACAAGGCTAGCTTTAAAAAAATCTGTTTTGGTGGAATGAGAGATTACTGATTATCCATC